TTCATTTTATTTGTCTCAGCCCACTGCTCCAGCCTGTCTAGATCATTTTGAATCCTGACTCTGTCTTCTTCAGAATTAGCAATCCCACCTAACTTTGTGTCATCTGCAACAGTCATTGGCTGCTAGAAAACAACTTCAGCAGAAGGAACGTGCCAAAATCAAAAGGGACTTGCTCATTTGGCAAACATTTCCAAGCCAAATGTATTGATTGGCTTACAGACTTGGCTTCAGAGCAGATATAGCCGCTTGGGTTCGGGGAGCAAGCATTTCCTAGGCTGCCACTTAACGGTAACTTTTTAAGCAAAAACCAAAAGATCGGACAATCCATAGTAAAAGCTCAGTTTTGTTGTTAGTAGTTTGGACTGGAGATAATTTAAAAAAAATCAGTGGTGGGAGATCCCTAATTTCAATCACTTATTTTAAAGAGGTGGGAGTTATACTGGGTCAATACAGTGACTGGACAGGACAGTTAGATACTATAACTCTTTTAAGGAAGACCACTGCTCCATGAATATCTTCAGCTAAGGCGCTATTTCTCTGAATCGGTAGACAGAATCATAGAATCATAGAGTTGGAAGGTACCTCCAGGGTCATCTAGTCCAACCCCCTGCACAAGGCAGGAAATTCACAAATACCTTCCCCCCCCACACACACACATCCAGTGACCCCTGCTCCATGCCCAGAAGATGACAAAAAACCTCCAGGATCCCCGGGGCCAAATTGGTCTGGAGAAAAATGGCTTCCTGACCCCCAAAGTGGCGATCAGCATTTCCCTGGGCGTGTAAGAAAGGGCCACGAGAACTAAGCACTGAGGCAACCCTCCCTGCCCTCCCTCTCAGGATCTGCCGAAGTTCACAGAATCAGCACGGCTGTCCGATGGGGCCGTCTAGCCTCCGCTTGGAAACCTCCTCCCAAGAAAGAGAGCCCACCACCTCCTGAGGAAACCTGTTCCACTGAGGAACCAGTCTGTGAAAACTCTTTTAATTTCAGCCTGTTGGTTCTGGTCTGACCTTCTGGGGCAACAGAAAACAACTCTGCCCCATCCTCTATCTGACAGCCCAAGTACTTGAAGGTGGTAATCCTGTCACCTCTCAGTCGTCTCCTCTAATCCATGCTCTCTCAATGCACTCCCAAGAACACTTTCCGTGGAGTAAATCTCCATGAATAGACCTGAGCAGGATTCTGAGTAGACCTCCTTTGGATTGCTGTCTGAGTACTAACTAGGATAGAAACTCTGTTGATGACAAAAACCTGTAATTCGTTGACGAAGATACATAATGATTTTTTTCCCCAATGGACAAAAACAAACAAAAACAGACATAACACAGTTACATGAAATGGGGGTTACATATACTTATCTATATCATCTGGCTGTATTCTCCTGCAATGTTTACTACAATTATTATCACCAAATAGTTTTGCATAGGTTTTTTGCATATTAATATAGAAATGAAGCCTCCCAAAATGTTCACTTCATATGTCTATATTGTTTATTTGTAATAGTCTTCCAACCATTTATAAAATCTTGACCATGTATTGCAGAAACTTCCTTCTTCTTATACTCTCTTGTCCTAAGATATATCAAAGTCTGTCCCAAAGAGCAAGGAAAGAAGATCCAAGTTTTGTTAAATGCTGAGGGAAAGATCTGAAGTTGAAATCAACTAAGTGCAACAATTTGTAGAGTGGTATAAATACACGGTCAGTTCTGCCTTAAGATAAAACTGTTTTAAACTGAAACCACAGGGATACCTGATTCCTCTCAGACTGGCTAAAATGTGCGATCCAGTGATCCACACAACGGTCACCACCAGGCTGGATTACTGCAATGGCTCTACGCAGGGCTACCTTTGAGACTGGCCCGGAAACTGCAGCCGGTCCAGAATGCAGCGTTCTCACAGGAACACCATTAAGAGCTCATATACAACCAGTGCTACACCAGCTGCACTGGTTCCCAGTTGAATACCAGATCAAGTTCAAGGTCCTGGTAGAAAGCCCTGTGTGCTCTGGGACCAACATTCCTTCAGGGCCGCCTCTCTCAGTATGACCCTGAAAGAACGTTACGCTCGATGGATCAACATCTGCTGGTGATTCCGGCTCGAAGGAGGTCCGCTTAGCCTTAACCAGAGCCAAAGCCTTTTTGACTCGGGCACCTGCCCGATGGAACAGTCTCCCGGGAGAGATCCAGACCCTGCAGGACTTACTACAGTTTCACAGGGCCTGTAATATGGAGATGTTCCACCAGACCTATGGCTGAGGCGGTGGACCTCTATCAGTATTGGCCTCCCTCCGCACACTTTGGTGTAGTGGTTAAGTGCGCGGACTCTAATCTGGGAGAACCTGGTTTGATTCCCCATCCTCCACTTGCAGCTGCGGGGTGACCTTGGGCAAGCCATAGTTCTGGCACAGCTGTTCTTGAAAAAGAGCTGTCAGAGCTCTCTCAGCCCCACCTCCCTCACAGTGCGTCTGTTGTGAGGAGGGGAAGGGAAAGGAGTTTGTAAGTCGCTCTGAGACTCCTTTGGGTAGTGAAGGGTGGGGTATAAATCCAATCTCTTCTTCTTCTTATATGGCTTCTACTCATCTGCACACATCCCATAATATTGGTTACTATCTACTGTGCACATACGTGGAGTGGACTCAGGAGGAGTTGTATTAAACGGTGCCGTAAATGATGCTAAATCTGGATTTAAACAACAGTCAATACTATGATTATTTTATTATAATTTATTATACTGCTGTAACCCGCCCTGAGCCTTGCTATGCAGGGGAGGGCAGGCTAGAAATTCACTCAATCAGTATGTCAGTCAATAACGACTTGGGGAAGTGTGAGAATTGCCACCCAAAAGGGTTTTATTAATTGCTTTTGGAAACTGTTCTTTGGGAGGGGTGAGCGGGTGAGCCGGGCAATTACATTGGTCTTTGGGAAGTCTCACCTGTTAGTGGAAAGTTACTGGCAGATCCGAACCATTTGGCAAGGGACCCTGAAAACCGAGAAAAGTCATTATGTGTTTAAGTCTAAGCCGGTTTCCAGTTTCCAGTCCCAAGGCAATCTTCTGAAATCTATCTCTGCAATTGTGTGCGATTCAAGCTTTTAAGAAAGAAAACACTAGGAAATACAAGGCATCTTCCAGGAAAAGGAAAACCCACAGGTAGAAACGTGTTTCGGATTAACTCGGGGCTGAGTTATGTCATCCGGTTAATCCTTTGGCAATGGGTCTCAGCGTGAGCCAGCCTAGACACATGGACTTTCTCTGCTTCGATTCGTCACGGTCCCCCTTCCCACCCATGGGAGCCGCCGTGCCTGCAGAGAGTTTGCTGACAAAATCAAACAACTGAATCTTTTTGGTCAGTGCAATATTTGGTTCTCGATCTCATTTGTGTGCACTACAGCCTCCAAATGTCTCTGTGCAATTATTTATTCTGACGACGACCCTGTGAAGTAGGGCACTCTGGAAGAGGGCGGCTTCAGGGATGGCCACAATTGCATAGCTAAGTACCGGATCAGCCGCCACCCCCCTTCCGAGCTCCAGTCTCTCTTCTTCCAGACTTTCCCAACAAATTCTGAGGGGAGACTGTGAACATTCTTGGACAAACACAGGAGGTTTGACATGACCAGTGAGGCTGGCTGGTTTCTCAATTTTTTCCACTGGCTTCAAATGAAGACGTCATTTATGGTGTGACCCAAGGCCAGCAAGAGACCTGTCCACCATGTCTGGAAAGCTATCCGTGCCAGTGGCTACCATGTTCAATTTCAGACCTGCTGTTTTACTTGCACGTTCACTCCTTAGTTGTTATTTTGCATCTTAGGGAATTGTTGGTGGCTTTATTTTAATCATTTTAATCTCACAAGACAAGAACTCGTGAGAACTCGTGGGCACTCCATGAAATTGCCGAACAGTCGGGTTAGAATGGATAAAAGGAAGGACTTCTTCACCAAAAGAGTGATTAACACATGGAATTCACTGCCACCGGAGGCGGCGGCGGCTACAAGCATGGATGGCTTCAAGAGGGAATTAGATCAACATATGGAGCAGAGGTCCATCAGTGGCTCTTAGCCACAAGGTATAGGTAGGAACTCTGTGTCTAGGGCAAGTGATTCTCTGTATTCTTGGTGCTGGGGGGGGGCAACAGTGGGAGGGCTCCTAGTGTCTTGGCCCCACTGCTGGACCTCCTGATGGCAATGGGTATTTTTGGCCACTGTGTGACAGAGTGTTGGATTGGCTATTGGCCTGATCCAACATTGGCTTCTCTAAGTTCTCCTATGTTCTGCCCCACATGTCCTTCTGCTGTTCTTTTCATCAGGTTTACAGGGATAAGCTTATTGCCCCCCTCTTAGATAGACCAGCACTTGATGCAGATAGTGCTGATCTAGAGAGATTTCTGACAGAGGAAGATCAGCAGAACTCCAGACAAATAGCTAAATTCTGCTTGCAGCTGGTAAAATTCTACAATAAAAACTCTCAGTCACCTTTTGCATGACTTAGTTTTAGACATTTTCATAGTTATTCTGATATAATGGACTGTTAAACTTTTTATTTTTTTAACGTTTTAATGCTTTTAAGGTTATATGTCTAAATATATATTTTTGGACTGAAAGCGAATCTGTTTGCATTTTAACGAATATGTATTATTTTAACAAATGGCCTTTGACCGTAAATAAACATCATTCATTCCCTTATGTTCTTATGTTAATTGAATTAATTACTCTTCTGAGCAGATTTCATAAAGATGCACTCGTCAGGCAGTGTCATCACCCCGTAGTCATAATGCACAAAGATATTAAAACATAAAGCGGTGCCGTATGTGAAGAGATTTAAAGAAGAGGAGCGTGAAGGGTCGGAGTCGGGAGATGCTAACAAAGAGTGAAGAAGAAACAGACGGTTCGATCTGGAGTTGTGTTCAGAAGCAAACCAGATGTTTAAGGATTCTGTGAGTACATAATTTTGTGTTTGAGATGCATGTGCGTGAGAGAGAAGAAGAGGGGGACACGTAGAAGGGATTACCTTCACCAGCGAACGGTGCATGTCCTTCAAGTTGACCTGCAGCAAGTTCCCAATGAAGGGCAGGGGAGTCGGTCCGGGTGGCATCTTGCTCTTCCCGCGCATCTGTCGCCACGTGGAGAGGGCCACCAGGCAAGAGAGGCAGATGATGAGGAAGACGGTCCCGGCTCCGAGGAGATCCATGGCGGCTGAAGGAACTCTGCGGGCAGCTGACTGTGCCTACGCAGCTGGAGAGGATCTCATATAAACTCCGTCTCTGGAAACCCAATAGCCCCAACCCACTCTTATGCAATTTGTTTGCGCTCTAGTCTCCACCTTGGTTCTCTTTCAAGCCAAGCCAAAAGTTCAGAGGTTTTTCTGGATAACGGGAGAGGTTGCCGGGCCCGTTTCCCATGCCTCCTGTGGAGTTGGGAAGGAGAGCGAAATAGGGAAAATACTGGGCGGGGAATTTCCTTCAAGGCAGAGGGCATCCTCCCCGTATAAATGGCCTCCCTCTTACGCAGAGAGGAGACCATAGGACTGAACTTAAGGATGTTCCCCTCTAATGGCAGATTTAAGGTGATCTACATATTTTTATTTATTTATTTTATTAGATTTATATACCACCCTCCCCAAATGGGCTCAGGACGATGTACAACAGTTGAATAGTTGTTTTTAGTAGGGTTGCCAGTCCTGGGTTGGGGAACACCTGGAGACTTTGGGGGGTGGGGCCAGGAGAGGGCGGGGTTTGGGGAGGGGAGTGGCCCCAGCGTGGTCCAATGCCACAGAGAGTCCCCCCTCCAAGGCAGCCATTTTCTCCAGGGGAGCTGATCTCTGTCCGCTGGAGGTCAGTTGTGAACGCGGGAGATCCCCAGGCCCCACCTGGAGGCTGCCAACCCTAGTTTTTAGTGTCTCCTTTCTAAATGAAGAGGCGTAAACAATTCGGGCTCAGGCCCCGTCCTCGCCCTGATGTGTGTGGACAGGCTGAACACGTAGCACGGGCGACATGGTCCCCCCACGTTTCAGGGCCCAGCTGAGAGACGCCGGTTGCTCCTGTCTAGCCCTACCTGTTTGGGACCGTCTCTGCATCAACATGAGGAACGGGCCTTGATCAAGGATGCTCAGCTTCTGCCCTGGGGATTTCCCCACCAAGTCGACACAGTCAGACCGCTCACACATTCCCCCTGATAGGCATGAACACGTGGAAGGGGAATGAGATGATCCCCTGAAACCTCACCCCCCTGACCTGACCTCTGTGTGTCTGCCTGTGGCAGGCCCAACCGCACTGTGTTTGCAGGCTTTTATGAAAGGAAACCTCCGTGCATCGGTGGCCACACAGGAGAAGCATACTAAGCAGCCCTGAAAGACAGCATCAGCGAATGGGCACGTTGGCCACGGCACAGATTTGAATCCAGGAGCAACTTAGAGACCAAGAAGGTTCCCAGGGTATGAGATTTCAAGAGTCACAGCTCCCATATCTGATGAAGGGAATGTTGACCCTCGGATGTTTCTACCCTGAAAATCCCGTTGCGCTAGGGAGGCCAGGCTCTGGGCGGGACCTGGGGGGATCTCCTGGAACTCCAGCGCATCTCCGCACTGCAGAGATCAGTTCCCCTGGAGGAAACGGATGCGTTGGAGGGTGGACTCTATGACCTTGTACCCCACTGAGGTCCCTCAACCCCCCAGGCTCCACCTGCCCAATCTCCAGGAGTTTCCCAACCTGGAGCTAGAAAAGCACCACCCCATCCCGCCCCCATCCACCCCGAGACCAGGGGGATCAGGAAACTCTTACTAAAGGGCTACCGACTCAAATCTAACTGAACAACCCTTGCGCTTTCTTTCAGCTTCTGGAGAGCGTAAAAGATCTGGAATTAGGTTTACCAGAATCTTACGTTCTCAGTCTTTCAACAAGGATTTCCAAATGGTGTCCTGCTTGCACAAGCTCATGAAAGGCATTTCTTCTATTTCTTGGTTGTATGTTTTTCTACCTAGCCCTATAGATAGGAAATAATGGAAATATACATGGAAATATATTATGCTGAAGTACTGATTGTCTTATCATGTTTTGATTTGCTATGATACTCTTTGCGATGTGACTTTTTCATGTTTGATATTTTTACATCATGCAGTGTCCTTAAAATGTGTCTAACAAATGATGTTTTGTGCTTCCCACTTATCCCTTTGCTCCTAATAGTAAAGGTCTCCCTTGCTCAAAAGCCAGTCAAACCCAACTCTAGGGGGTGGTGCTCATCTCCGTTTCCAAGCTGAAGAGCCAGCGCTGTCCGAAGACGTTTCCAGGGTCATGTGGCCGGCATGACTAAACGCCAAGGTGTTCTTAGTAAAATCTTAGTAAAAATATGTCCTAGTAAAATTTTAGTAAAAATATGTCCATCGAGCGTGAATAAAATGACCCCTGTTGGTTGTTGTGTGATACGTGCATTGCACTGTAGGTTCAGGTACCAGAATAATTGACCCCGCACTGCCCTGTGGCAAGTGGATCTGAAACCACAAAGGAATACCAGATGCCTGGCAGTTCAGGGTAGCTATGGGTATGAGTTAAGGGTATATAAACCCACATACCAGAGGTCTTGGAAAAAGTCTCGTGAGTTACGCTGCAATTAATGGCCCTGAGATAGGAACCAGAGGTCTTGGAAAAAGTCTTGTGGGTTACGATGCAATTAATGGGCCTGACGCCTGTAACGGTTGTGTCTAGGTGGGCGGGTTGATGGTGCACGGAACGCTGTCACCTTCCCACCGAAGTGGTACCTATTTATCTACTTGCAATTTCTTGCTTTCGAACTGCTAGGTTGGCAGGAGCTGGGAGCAGAGACGGGAGCTCACTCTGTCTCGTGGCACTCGGGTCTCGAACTGCCGAGCTACCGACCTTCCAGTCTGCATCTCAGTTTCTTACCCTCTGAGCCTCCGCGTCTCCACTTAAATGGTAATATAAATATATGTATATATTAAAAGGGCATTAATTCTGCACTTAAGCTCTTGTTCCAGAGATTCACTTTCTATCTTTTGACGTATTAAATATCAGAGGGACACTCCAGAAGAGTAACTGCCCCAGTTTCAGTAACAATAGATTAGAATAGTAGACTGTAATGTAATGTAATGAATAGTGGAATGTAATGTAACCCTGACTGTTCCCTGGAAGGCCAGATAATGAAACTGAAGCTCAAGTACTTTGGCCACCCAATGAGAAGGGAGCCCTCACTGGAGAAGAAGACCCTGATGCTGGGAAGGACTGAAGGTCAAAGAAGAAGGGGGACGGCAAAGGATGAGATGGTTGGACAATGTTATGGATACAACGGACATGGAGTTGGGCAGGCTCCGGAGGACGGCGGAAGACAGGAGGGCCTGGCGTGATCTGGTCCGTGGGGTCGCGAAGAGTTGGACTCGACTATGCGACTGAACAAGAACAAAAGGCATTTGGAATGGTAGGTGGGAATGTATTTCGCTGCTCTGGGGACAGGGGAGGTAACCCTACACAGCCAATTGCCTCACTTCAGACAAGAAGAGTCTGTGAGTGCGCCTCCTTCCTTGCTGGAGAGGAGACGGATGGAGCATAATGGCAGGGTTTCAGTCATAGAACAAAGTTAGAGTCCAGTGGCACCTTTAAGACCAACGACATTTGATTCAAAGAGTGAGATTGGCCCCGGTCATACGGGCCGGAAAATGCAAGGGGGGGGGAGTGTGGCTGTTTGCCCTGGAGCAAAATAATGCGTGACTGCGCGATCAGGTGTCCGGTTGAGGTCCCCTCAAGGTCCTGTGGTTAGGGGGGAGGTGCCGATCACACAATGCGGCAGAGAAGTGGGGCAGCGCGGCAAATGGGGTTGTGTGTTTTTTTTTAACTGAAATGTGTGCATGCTCCATTGGGTGCTTGTGTGCATCCCATGGAGACTTGGGGAAAAAAATTTTTGCGAGGGGACATGGGCGGGCGCCGGATGCCACCGTAAACGCGATCAGACACCTGCCCTTGCCCCGCGGTTTCTAGAATCTAGTACCTCGGAGGTACTCGTTTTCTACACCGCATCTTCGGCGGGAAGCCTCGGTTGAGCCACGGGAGCTCTACGCTTCCCAGATGTGGCGCTGTGATCGCGCCCGGAAAATCCGCCTATCTTCCGTCTCTGTAGCATGGCTAATGCTCCGTGTGACCGGGGCCATTGTTGGTCTTCAAGGTGCCCGACTGGACTCTAACTGTTCTGTCGTTTCAGACCAACGCGGCGACCCACCAGGGTCTCAGCCAATTACTCTCAGCATTCCACAATTAAGAAGGCTACATCTGCCCATCAGTCTCCAGTTTTGACATATTTATTTCCTTCACCGTGTTTCTCTCCCCAGAATTAAACCCAAACAAATGGTAACCATATAAACTAAGCTGGCTATTCCAGTTTGGTCCTTGACTCTATTAAACATCTTCATTATGCGGTATGCTAACTTCCCATTCACCCCCTACCTATATGTATGGACTGGTCATTTCCATTTCATTGTATCCGAAGAAGCATGCCTGCACACGAACGTTTGCACCCGCAGTAAAATTTTGTTGGTCTTCAAGGTGCTCTGGACTCAAACTTTGTCCCAGTTTTGGTATCTGTTTTTCAAATCAGTTGCTGAGCTACAGGTCTTGATGACTCCAGGGGGGATTTTCTGTCGCTACAGAGCCACTCATTTTCCATTCTTCTAACTAATCTTGGTCAGTTTGGGAAGAGACCGTCTTGGAATGCACCCTGTCAACATACCTTAGATTATGTGAATTCTCATCACTGCAACCATGTAAGTTCTAAACCACACTTTTCGTAGGAACACAGCTAATAACTTCCAAGTGCCGATCCACAATTGATAACCTTGTCTTTATTAGGCTGGATTTCTCCACTGCGCTGTGTCCCATTACCAGCAAATGCCTTTTATTTTTAAGGCGAAGCTGAGTTCTGGTGTTACGGTAACAGGCCTGCATTCTACTTTTGGGGTTACACTATCGTGAGATGGTGCAATAGGGCCATGGTGTGATTTCAAGAATGGGATCTAGGAATGGGGAACAAGGTGCGGGGAAATGGTCAGTCACATCGGTGAAGTCACATTGGTGAAGCCAACTGGAACAATCTGGCGTTTAGACCTGCTCATGGGTGTGTAGGGGGGGCAAGGTTCACTGGGGGCGTCACAAGACAGGGAGAGAGAGAGAGAATAAGAGATTGGATTTATACCCCATGGCCCTTCATTA